GCTTTTTATATCCTTTTATTTTCAGGCTGTTTGTGTAGCTGAATCTCAAGTGAGAGACACATTCTATGATTGGATTGTCTTTGTATAACGATATGCCACCCTTGAACTTTTCATTGGAGATTTTAATCTATTTACATATATCATAATTACTGATAAAATAGAATTTATGCCTGCCATCTGCTACTTGTTTTCTGCATGTCTTATGTCTTTCCTGTTACTATGTTCCTCCATTAATGTCTTCTTTTGTGTTAAATAAATATTTTCTAGTGTATCATATTAATTCATTTTTTCTACTATGTGTTTTTGAATTACTTTATAAGTGGCTGCCCTAGGGATCACATTTAACATCTTAATTTACAACAATCTAGGTCAGATTAATACCAATTTAATTGCAATAGCATATAAAAAACTTTGATCTTATCCAGCACCATTCTCCCCACCTTTATATTGTTACTGCCACAAATTACATCTTTATATATTGTGTGCCCATCAACACTGAATTATAATATTTATTAATTGTAAAAGCTAATTTTTATCCACTATAACAATGGAGTATAATAATTAGTTATAGATTTTTATAATTTCTGTCTCTTTATTGATATTCTCTACTTTGTGAGGCATTATTCTCATGGTTTCTGTAGTTTTTTAAACATCGTTTCCATTAGCTCTTTGAAATATTTAAAATAGCTGATTTAAAGTCTTCATCCAGTAGGTCCAACGTCTGGACTTCCTCAGAGACACTTTCTATTGATTGCATTCTTTCATCTGTATGGGCCACTTTTTCTTGTTTCTTTGAATTTCTCACAATTTCTTTTGAAACTTGGACATTTAAAATCTGGAAATCTGATCACTTTCCTCCCAGGGTTTGCTGCTGTTGCTGTTTGTTGTATTTGTTGTTGTTTTTTAGTCTAGTGACTTTTCTGAACTAATTCTCTAAAGTCTTTATTCTTGTCATGTATGGCCACTGAATTCTCTGCTTGGTCAGCTTAGTGGTAAACTAATGATTGGAGAGAGACTTCTTTAAATGCCTGGAACCAATAAATCTCCTATGCTTTGGGGGGACTCTATGTACATGTTGGGGTGCACCTTTAGCAGTCACCTAGGCAGTTGATAACTCTGTTTTAGTTTTCACTTCCTGCTTCCATAGATCTTCAGAATCAGCCAGAGATGAGAGCTTAGGGCCTTTTCAGGTCTTTCCAGAGCATGTACACAGTCCTACGCATGCACAGTCTCAGGCACAGCCCTAGGCAAGACTTTACATCAGCTATTTTAAATATTTCAAAGAGCTAACAGAAACCATGAGCATGTGCACAGTCCTAGGCATTCACAGGAATATGTTGGAGTGTTTCAAAGCCCCTATAGGGCACCTCATTCTTCAGATTTTATTTTAAGCTTTTTGGTTAGTCTGTTGTTAGCCCCAACAGTTTACAATGCCTCAGGCAACTGTAAAGTTAAAACACTTCTCAGTAATTGTTTTCAACAAATGCCTGCTGAGAAGAAGGCTTTTGCACTGGACAAGTTATTAATACGATCAATTTCAGGCAGACTTGTAAGTAGGGTCTTTTAAGAAACACCAGACATGTCAAATAATGATAATTATTTGATAATGAGGCTTTCAAAGAGCTCTAGCTCTATTCTGCTCATTCTTGCAGCTGCCATGCTGTACCAGGAGTGTGTGCTACCATTTTTCAAAGTTACTGTGGAGTTAAAGAGTGGGCAACTGCAATTCAGCCATTTCTTGAGTGAAAGCTCTCTAGTTTGCCCTAATCCTTGCTATGGCCATTTTTGTCAATTTTTTCATTGCTTTTATGGAGGAGAAAATTTTCAGATGTCTTTATATTGGCATTTTCATTAACATCACCGTCATGTTTATTGTATGTTTTACCATTTATTAAAGTGACTCACCTAGCTCTTTAGCACTGAAGTTGACTTAAGTTGATATGGCAGCATTCATTCACAATTGCTAGCAATGATAAGGGATTACTATTCGAAGGTATCCTTTAAGAGATACAGTTGTAGCAAACATTACATGGTTGTTTTGATCTTGTTAGTTTAATGAACAGGTATGTGACAAAACTTAGGATTCCATGGAAACAGAACTTAATAAATAGAAATTACCAAGTTGAAGGAGTTTGTATCGAAGACTATTATTTCCTCTGTTATCTGAACAGGACCGTATTTCTGTCATAGATGAACACACTTTTCCCTTTCCGAAAGTTTTGACATTTTAACCTTTGCTTCAGGCCTTGGACCTTGTCATGATGATCCATTCCTGTGGCCTGATTCTTTTGGAAATGTTCTTGACAACTGATATTATCTCACTATTAAAATATTCCATTTTTTGAGTTCCTTTGAGCCAGTTGGATACTCTGTAGCATGCAATAGGATTTATGTTTCTCCTGCTCACATTCATTCCCATTAATCACTTAGAACTTGGGGAATGAAAGAAACCCAAGGCTGCCTGTTAATAGTTGAGGAAAGTGAGACTGAAAATTCTGCCTTATCTTTCCTGAGGATCAAGGTTGGTGGATTTCACAGCTAAAGTTATTGGATTTAGCCCTCCAAATTTTGATTCATGGTTTTTTTTGCTTTCATATTTTATATACTTCCTTTTTTTTTTAATCATCATACTTGATTTATGTTTGGATTTTACTTCAACGCTTACCCAGCAACTAAGAAAAAATATTTTTGAAAGCCCTTTAATATAAACATTTAAGATTATAAATGAAATCATGCTGTTTGTACTCTTATTTTGTCATTTGAATTATTAACACTTTCTCAGAAGATTATTTTAAATACGTGTTAAAGAAATGCTATGCAGTTGCTTTTATGGACACAAACATAAAATGAGAATTTATGAATCATATAAATAAACTGAAGTGAATGTGGTATACAGAATAATAGGAGACATATGATGATGATGATGATGTGTGTGTATGGGTGTTTGTGTGTGTGTGATATGTATAGGTTCCTTCAAAAAGTAAGAGGGGTGTGTAAAGAGAACATTGGATATGTTTTTTGTTATCAGCTTCATAAATCTCCTCTCAATGGTTAGAGCCAGTAGTAAGAGAGGGTGCCAGATGAGAGAATAGGTATGTGCAAAAGTTATGCTCAAGGATCTGCTTTTTCTCCCCAAATCCCTCCCAGGACATAGTTGTATATTCTACCTGTGGATCCTTCTAGTTGTGACATCCTTCTTTCTTTTATACTCATAGACACTGATGACCAAAGTTTTATGGAATGCAAGAGAACTTTCTATGAGGTGGTATTCCTCTCTGAGGAACATCTCTATCTGTTAAATAAAGAAATTCTGTATTCATACTATAGGGAGAAAGGTAAAATCGAGTGTGTATTTTAAAAAATGCTTGCTATTGTCACTAAGTTGAAATTAAAGGTAGAAAAGAGATATTGTTATTGGATGCATTTTGAATATTTTATTTGCCTACAAAAAGAAACTTGATTATTAGAACAAATGTCAAAAGATCTCAACCTGTTTCTGAATTTAAAACTTTACTTTTTTACAATAACCTGAAGATTAATCTTTATTTAATTTTTGACAAAATGCGGAATAATTTACAGTGGCATAACACATACCAAATGCCACAGTTTATATTTATAAAACACCCTGCTTAAATATTTAAATAATTTATTTATCTGCGAGAGTTGAAAAATTTCATTGCAAATGCTACTCTATTTTTAAATAGCTTAATGTGTCAAATCTGAATTTTGAACCAAACTTTTAAAAATAAGGATGATTAATTTAAGTAATTTCCTTGACAGTGAAGAAAATCTCTTCTGTATATCTCATGGATGCCTTGTAGTAGCTGAATATTTATAAACGATAATTTAAGGTCTGTTGAATACTATTGCCCTATGTATTGCTAATACAATCTTATTTAAACCTAAAACAAAATATCCATATGGCTCACTATGTTGATTTGATTATTCACTTGGTTGCCATTTGCTTCACCTGTGGAATAAGAAGCAAGAACAAACTAATGATAGTTCACTTGTCTCACTGTGATACCAGCTTTTCATCTTAATTATGTTTATATAATGATTCCAGGGAGTACCTTCTCAGAAAAATTTTCTGTTATTGCAGAGATTTGAATTATGCCTCTGGCTATAACTATAAGCAATCATTATCGTCAGTGTTTTCTGCTTAATTAGAGTATAATTTTGGAGTAAGAGTAGAGAAGAAGAGGTTTCTTAGGTTTCATAATTTTACTATTGATTTTCTCAATGATGTGGCAATTAAATTTGATTTCCAATCCAGCTTTAAAATACCACTGAATAACTTGGGTAGATATGTAATCATAATCATCATCAACATCATTTTTTTCATTCCTTTTGACAAATAGCGGCACATCAAATAGAGTAGCAGAAAATAATCGTTCCCAGATTATACACTGTAATGTTGTCAAGCACTGCAGGAAACAGAGGAAAGCCTAGGGAATGTTCCACATTTATTTTAGAGGCTTCTACACAGAAACAGTCCATTGCTATAGTCTGTACTGCAGTGTGTAGGAGAGCAGTGGGGATCGGTATCATTTTCCATAATCCTGGGAAAAGTTCGGACTATTTGATCCATTTTTTTTCTGGAGAAAATCACAGCAAACAACGATCTCTTGAATTCTTCATTGAGTTGCTTATTTAGTGGGCATTCCCAGTAACAGTCCCACTATAATGTTTTCCCTGGGTACCATCTTTGTATGGTTATAACCTTCTATGTTATATGAGCTAAACTGGTTTATGGACTGCAGCCCATAATGGTGTTCTAGAAAGTATAAGCACCACTGGTTATTTCACTGGGGGTTATAATGAAGTAAAAATATCAGTCAGACCATTTGTAAAAGCAAAAGATGTGGTTAGATGTTTCATTCTTTAAACAAAAATATATTGACCTAATGTAGATATAGGCCTGAATTATTCCCTGGTGTAGTAAATAAGTTTACTACAGATTGCTTTGAATCTAACATGCTGACTCTTGTTTCTAACAGCGTACTTCCTCTCACTGGTCTCCAAAGTAAATGCTACTTTCTCAAACTTAAGAAGCAGAGTTTTTCTTCCGACAAATAACCAACATGTTTGTCAGGTATTTGAAAACACACAACACTTTAAATACTTTTCACATTTGGGAACTTCTTTATTATAATTGTTTGGACATTATTTTTCACAGATTACATTTTATTACTTCTCCAGCCAAGGGAGTGGCAAATTAACGGCTGGTCTTCAAACTACATGTGGCGGTCCTATTCATCATTTGTGGCAAAACACAGTTGGGAGCCAAAATCAGTGGGAGAGAAATGTCATCAAAATCCAGAGTTCCCAGAGATTTCAGGTAGGTGTGTTGTATTTTCTAACTATGTCTTTGAAGGAAAAATGATAAGATACAGTTCTTTAACACCAGGTGAATTAAAAGTAGATGATAACGGTCCCAGTGGCTGAAGACTGAGGGATTTGCCAGAATTTTCAAGTGCTGAAACTAAAGAGTCCCAGGAGATTGTGATGGCCAGTCACCTAAAAAGGCATTTTTAAAAAAGGTTTTAAATTTGTATATCAAAACTAAAGTTGATATATATTAAGATATATTAGTAAAATATAATCTGATTCTCTTCTGAATTTCTTGAATCCCCTCCATTTTCCTCTCTTTCTCTTACTATTCCAACCTCCTCTTTCCTTTCATTTCTTATTCTTAAGGGTCACTTCCCTTCCAGACTTTTCTCAGGCTTTTGAGAGAACAGGGTTATGTTGGGTATGAGGAAATAGACTGTTTGATTTAAGTACTAATTCCAGATGCTGTTGAAATGGAATCATTGTCATATTTATTTCATGGTTAAACTCAAATTATTCAATACAGCCATTATTTTCCAAAGTAATTTTGAGAATTAAAGCCAATGCAAATCTATAAAAGACAAACTTATTTATACAGTCTAGTAAAACTTATATATGGTGGAAATTATAATGAAATGATTATTGCGGGAGTTCTTGGAAAAGTATTACATATTTTAAAATTTGGGACAGCCAAGCAAAATTTTCCAGTTAAAAATGGAATCCTAAAGCATTTTATTCCGAATGAATTTACTTTTTAAGCCTGGTTTGTGGGCCAATTAATCCAAGTAGTTTTCCTTTATCATATACTATTAGAATAATATAATAATAAATTTTATAATTTTGATACAGAGAAGAAAATCATCTGATATTTGATGGATTTAGTGCTTGCTTAAATATAGGGATTGAATTGGATTGAATTTTAACTTCAGTTATTTTGAGCAACTAAAAGGAAGGATGGGAGAATGAGCAGAATCTCTATTATAAAAGTTGTATTGTAAGGTATAAGAATGGCACATTTTCTTAATTGATCTGTCATAAAATCACAATAGTTTGGAATTTTCAAGCTTTTTAAAACTATACAGAGAATCAAAGAAGATCAAAGAAAATCGCTTAGTTGGCTAAATGATACCTGGATGATAGGACCGAAGAGGAACTGTATAATTGGAAACAATTCTGTGGTTTGAGGCTTTGCACTCTGTTGAAGTCAAATATTGGGTGTGTGTGTGAGGAGGGATCTTAAGACATCAGGCATTTGAGTCTTCTTGTGAATGAATGATTCACTTATTTAACAAAGACTTACTTGGGGCACTTGGAATGTACTAGGTGGGATTCAGGGAATGTTCCAGTACCATGGTGAGATTTTTTCCCCAGCTTTATTGAGATATAATTGACACATAACATTGTGTAAATTTAAGGTGTACAATGTGAGGATTTGATAGACATATATATTGTGGACTGATTACCACAAATAAAGTTAGTTAACATATCCATAACCTCACATAATTACAATTTTTTTCCATACAGTGAAAACATTTAAGATCTACTCTCTTAGCAACTTCCAAGTATGGAATACAGTATTATTACCTATATTCACCATGCTGCATGTTAGATACCCAGAATTTATTCATCTTATTGCTAGAAATTTGCACCCTTTGACCAAAATTTCCCCAATTTTCCCATTTCCCAGCCCCTGTCAGCTACCATTGTACTCTCTGCTTGTATGAGTTCGTCTTTTTTAGATTCCACATATAAGTGAGATCATATAGTATTTGTCTTTCTCTGTCTGAGATTTCACTTAGCATAATGCCCTCAAGGTCCATCCGTGTTGTCATAAATGGCAGGATTTTTCAGCTTAATTATTCCTTTCTATGTATATACCATGTCTTCTTTACCTATTTATCCATTGATGAACACTTGGGTTGTTTCCATGTCTTGGTTATTGTGAATTAATGTTGCAATAAATACGAGAGTGCAGATATCTCTTTGAGATAGTGATTTAATTTCCACTGAATGTGTACCCAGAGTAGGAGTGCTGGATCACATGGTAGTTCTAATTTTAATTTCTCGAGGAACACCATGCTGTTTTCCACAGTGGCTATGCCAGTTTACATTTCTACCAACAGTGCACAAGGGTTCCCTTTTCTCCACATTCTCACCAACGCATTATCTCTTGTTGTTTTGGATGATAGACATTCTAACAGGTGTGAAATGTATCTCTTTGTAGTTTTGATTTGCCCTTCCCTGATGATCACTGATGTTGAGTACCTTTTCATGTACCTGCTGGCCGTTTATATGTCTTCTTTGGAAGAATGTCTGTTCAGGTCCTCTGCCTATTTTATTTGTGTTTTTGCTATTGAGTTTATGAGTTCCTTACATATTTTGTGTATTAACTCCTAATATGATATATAATTTGCAAAGAGAAGATTTTTGACAGGCATGCAGATGGGACGCTATGTGTTCCTGGCTTTGGTGGGGAGTGGTGTGCAAAATGAGAACCCCAAGCACCAATAACGCAACCAATTTGTTGTGGATGTTTGGGTGGCATTAACCGCTAGAGAAATTTCTAGTTTCTGTCTTCCACTCCTCTTCTCGCTCCCCTATGTCTCTCTATCTTTTCTCAATAACAACAAAAGCAACAAAACAAAGCCAAGAGTGCTTTTGAGGTGACTGACTCACATTGATTAGATGCTGAAGGATGAACTTGCTGAAGCTCCTTCTGTCTGCGTGCTTGTATAAAATTTAAAGACTGAGATAGGAATCTCGTCTATGAATAAACTTTACCAGTATTTACACAGCTTTTCCAACTTTGAAACAGAGCGGATGGCAAAAGAGTCTTAAACTACCTTTGTCAAGTTTGCCTTCTTATCTCTATCTCCATCTTCAGGTCAAGGTCTTTACTCACAGTGTAATAGAGATTTGGATGTTGGGCAGAGCTGGGACCTGCTGGATCTTGTAGGTTAAAGCTTTCAAAATAATTTCCTTGTTTTTCTCAGCTGTCCATTCCCAACTGGCATGTTGTGGGGGTTGATGATTAAGTATGTGTAGTAGCTAAATATAAAACTTAAAACTCCCAAATATATCATCTCCAGAGCAATTTAGCTGTAGCTGACGCAGCAAGGTTATTCACTTGAGTGCTTTAAAATGTGACAGTGGCTTCAACCAAAGCAGATTCATGTGCAATGTATTAATTTGTTTCCTAAAATACTTCATTGCTGATATGAAAACAGTGCTTCTACTTTAAGGGCTTTGTAAAAATTAGGAACCCCTATGACTCTCCTGAGATCCTTCGGCTGCACCAATCTTTAAGATTGCAGATACGTTTTAGTTCTATCCTGTCAGCAAGTGAGCAGACGTTCATTTGCCTTTGTTTAGTGGGCCACAGAGATGTGCTGTGCTTGTAATACTGCCTGCCCCCATCTAGTAGCTCATACCTGAAAAGCTTTAGCAAGAGGCTTATTTGAGGGCATTTTGTAATCAGCGTCTCCAGACAATATCTGCAGCTTCATCAATTTACACACCTCTGAGAATTATTTTATTATCTGCAATTTCCCCTTCGTGCTGCCTTCTGATAGTTTTAAAACCACTCATACTTCCTTTAGAAATATCCAAGCAGGAGATTTGAGTCCCAGCTGGACCCTGGCTTAGCATGGGCTTCTGAGAAAGCCTCTGGATCTGCCTCTCATGTGGGGGCTTTATAGACCCCCTAACCCTAACCCTAACCTTCATCTATAAAGTACTAGGTCTATCCCTTAATAAAATTGAAGCATGTTTAATTTCTGAGGGAATACTGCTGCATAAACCAAGAATGGTGTTTATGCATTTAGTCAACAAAGATGGCAGCATTTCAGAAAGTTTCTGAAGATGTTTAAGGCATAATAACATCTAGCATTTACTGAGCACTTCGTCCTTTGTTTACATTATCTTATTGACCCTTCATGGCAGTTCTATGAAGTAGAACTATAATTTACCCCATTGTTCACATGAGTATTACGAGCTTTAGAGAGTGGAATAACCTACTAAATTCCATCCCGGATTAGAACCTAGAATAGTTCGATTTCAAATCTCAATCATTTAGTCACTGACCCATGATAATTTTTCCATCATGTTAAAGCATCATAAGGATTTATAAGCTATAGAGGGAAAAAAATCCAACCTCAAGATTTGGTCCAATCTGTTGTGTGACTCATTAAATATTCTTTTGTCTGCTGTATTGGATAAAGCAACATTATTATGCACTGCATGATGCTGATAAACTGCAATCACAGTTTTCAAAATTGCAGATATAAGCAGTTAATTTTACTATTGTCTTAAAATATTCATGGAAGCAAAGAATAAACTAGGCTAAACATATGGCAGAAATTTAGTCTCAAATTCTAGGGAAACTTTCCCTCACCCCCATTTTTTTGTCCTCAAAGGGAACTAATGTATTAGTTTTATAGGTAGGAAGGAATGGATAGTATATTACTAGGCATATCACTGATTATGGTTTTCAAGTTGAATGTTTGGATTCTTAAACTAAATGAGAAGTCACTGTCTGTATTTTAAAAAGATACTGAAGCATTTTTAATACACTATTATCTACTTATCATTTCTTTCCTATTCCATTTAGAAATGCTAGCGAGTTCTCAACAACTTCCTATTCAGAAACAACAGGCTTTATTAATAGACGAAAGATGTTATTAATAGCAATAAATATGAATTGTTAACAAAAATTTCTACTTTCAAACTTTCAAAATCATAATCTGAGCCATTTTACCCATTACTTCAAGAAGATTTACTATGTGAACTCATGATGAGAAAAGATTACTGCCATCTTTTTGTGTTTCACATGTTTACTTGAGAAATAATATTGAATGTATACTACTAAGAAAACTTAGTACGATAAATATAACTAGCAGAGTTTCTGTTTATGTATTTACTAGTGTAATCTAAGTGAGTTTATGTCTAGTATTCACCTATGGTCAAAGTTTCATCTAAGATTTAAATTAAGTGGCTTGAGTGCTGATGCCCTGCCTCCCTTCAGAGGCCGTCTTCTCTTACAATGTTTGGGGTGAGAGGAATTTGCCTCACGTCTACATTGGATCGGTGCAGGCTATACCTGCATCTGTGATGTTGCCAAATTCCTAACTCCATTATCTGTATTATGATCTGCTCTTACTTTGCTACCTTACTGCTCTTTTCTTTATTTCCCCAACACAGTTCAAATGAGGTGGATGTTTGGAAAAAACTTATTTGCCAAAGTTTTAGAGTAAACAAGGAATGGTAGACATCACTTTTCTTAGAAATACAGCTACCATACACAAATGCAGCCTCTGACCATAGAACCTGGCTTTTTTTAAAAAATCATCTTGGGTTTCCACTTTCTTGAGCTAATTCAACCCATCTCTTGTTTCGAGATCCCAACCAAAATCCTTGGAAAATATTTTTGTTTAAATATATTTAACTAGATTATCTAGTTATGCCTGAGGTTTCGTAGCAACACAGACCCATTAGTAAATTTACTTAGGCTTAGAGAAATAGTTATTTCCCTAAGAAAAATATTTCTTCTTGCTGGACAAGTGGGCTCGAACAGTAGCCAATTTTCACTCTAACTTTTCCTCAGTTATACCAAGTTAACATATCATTTAATTGAATCAAATAAATATATTGTACGGATTGCATACTCTGATGAAGAGAGAGTTGAAGGTAAGAAGATAATTTAAAAGCTGCTTCATTAAATCACGTGTGAAAATACGAATGGAAAGAAAAGAGGGCTTATTAGATCTTGACTGATTGGACGTGGGACTGGAGAAGAAAGTGATTCTAAAGGTCATTTTGGATTTTTGAGCATTGAAGAGCAGCAGTCTTCTGCTCCCATTGTCAGAGAATGAGAATCAGATGAGAGGTCCAGTTTGAGGGGAAAGAACATTATGAATAAGAAATGACTTTGTGTTATTTGAGTGAGAATGTCCAGCAGGCTGTGGAGATATGTGACGTAAATTTGTGTTTCATCAGTGTGGGTGACAGTTGAAATCCTGAGGATGAATGGTTTTTGGGAGAGGAGAGTGTGGAGAAAAAAAGGAGAGACTTGTGATTAGTTAACAGTTATTTCTACTTCTCTCTTTCAATACGGCTGCTATGGGGGTATGCTTAACTCAACAAGAACTAAGGAATGCATCTATGTGAAAGGCTTTCAAGAAGAATAAAATATTAATCCATAGAGAATAGATTTCTTTTCTTTATTTTGAGGAAGATTGGCCCTGGGCTAACATCTGTGCCCAACTTCCTCCACTTTATATGTGGGACGCCTGTCACAGCATGGCTTGACAAGTGGTGTGTAGGTCTGCACCCAGGATCCGAACCTGGGAACTCGGCCACCGAAGCGGAATGTGCGAACTTAACCACTGTGCCACTAGGCCAGCTCCGAGAATAGAATTTTTAATGTATAATTAGGTTATTCAACAATACTATTGGTCCTCTGTATCCAAGGTTCTGCATCCACAGATTCAACCAACTGTAGATCAAAAAGGTCTACGAAGGGCAAGTTTGTGCTGAATGTGTACAGACCTTTCTTCTTGTCATTATTCCCTAAACAATACAGTATAACAACTATTCACACAGCATTTACACTGTATTAAATATTATAAGTTATCTAGAGATGACACAGTATACGGGAAGATATGCATAGTTTAGATGCAAATCCGAAGGGACGTGAGCATCCTCGGATTTTGGCATCCCTCAACAGTCCTGGAACCAATCCCCTGTAGATACTGAGGGACAACTATAGCTTAAATATTTTAATAACTCTATGTCATAATAATAGCTAACACATTTCATTCCAACTGTATATCAAGTGCTGTGGTACGTGTAATAACTTGTTTATCCTTGCATAAGCCTTATCATGTAGGCAATTATATTACTTTCATCAGTACTTTTTTACAAAGAAGAAAACTGAGATACAGAGATGTTGAGTAATTTCTCCAAGGTCCTGCTTGTGTTAAGTGTTGTGGCTGAGATCTGAACCCAAGTAGTCTGGTTCCAAATATACACTTCAATCACTATGCTATACTCCCCTCATATAAAACCACCCCTACACAAGGATCTTTGATAGCCCTGTTCCAACACAGCCCTGATTTCTAAGTGGTCACACAGTTATTCTGTTTTATGTGACCAAAGATGACTTTCTTAGGGTTACATGTTGACAAACCTGCTCCATAGGTTGTGGATGTCTCTCATTGTATTTTTTGTTCTGCTTTATCTCCCCTAAGACCCCCGTATACAGTTGTATATCTTAGTTTCAGGTCCTTCTAGGTGTGGGATGTGGGACGCCGCCTCAACGTGGCCTGACGAGCGGTGCCATGTCCGTGCCCAGGATCTGAACCCTGGACCGCCGCAGCGGAGCGTGCGAACTTAACCACTCGGCCACAGAGCCGGCTCCTCTCATTGTATTTTTAATAGACAAGTAGATAGCATCTGGTTTTAAAGGAAATATATTAGTACCCCATGTTGTGCAGGAACAAAAGATAATGCAGCACAGTAAAATGATCTGCTAGGGTTTATTGCTGGCAGAACAATTGTTAAGCTAAAAAGCAGTGCTGACTTTTTGAAATAATAAAATGTTTATATCATTAACAAGATGACCAATGAACACAAGTTTAGTGCACCCATGAATTAAGCCTCAAACATCATTGGTATTCCTTAGGGTGGGGCAATACTCTCCACCAACACAGCGATTTCAATTTTCTGTTGATTTAAGTAATAATGAAATCAGAGAGTAGTTTCTTTCTAAGTTTCTCAGATTCATTATACTGGAGTATTTCCTCTTGGTGCAGACTTGGGAGGGCTCTACATTGCAATATAACGTTCAGTCATTTTAACAATATGTCACTGGACAACGATTTTCAGGCGGTGTCCTAAGCTATGTTTAGAAAATGGCAGAAAATGTGTAAGAGGATAACACAAGTGCATCCGAGGCAACACTGTGAGTAAAATTTAGGGAACCAGAGGAGGAAATGGGCACAGTTGCAAAATGCCAAGAACCAGAGATCAAGATGTAGCCTGGGTCCAAGAGCTGGTAAATACTAAATCATATGACCACATAGGAACCAAACACAGAAGACGGTTATAGGGCAGAAACCAGGCAAATATTGCATCATTCCACAAGCATGTTACTAACCTATGCTAGACATCTGAGATTCAGAGATGACTACATTTTCTTGTCCTTGAGAGTAAGGCTTAGATCTCTTTCCACTTGGAATTGGCATGGTCACCCAAGTACTTCTGGGAAGTGACATGTTTCTGATTTGTAGGCTTTCTGCTATAAGACTGTGAGACACTGATGTTTCATGCTTTGTGTTTTTATTTTGTTTTGCTTTTCTTGTGCAGGTTGTTTTTCAAGGGGAAATGATTTCAACTCATGAGCGGGATGGAGTCATAGCTATCGATGACATATCTTTCAGTTCAGGCTGCTTGCCGGCAAATGGTAAAAACTCTTTCTCATTTTGTTCCTTACTGAGTATAACAAATTTAGTGCAATTTAAACATTAAAATGCCTTTATCTGCTCTTATTTTTGCCTGATGTTTTAGAATGGGCTATTTTCTGTTGTTCTAATACGTTGTATTACAGGGACTAGATCTATGCTAGAAGTGAAGACAGAATATTTTTTACTGACTGATGCTATGAAGAGCTGAAGAGGATAATTTAGTCTCTGATTTGAAGCTTTCTAACAATGTTTACGCTGGCTAGCTAAATCTTCCCGAGAGAACTCTGTGCGTCCTAGGAGACTAGGAGAAAACTGGCATCCATAGACTTGAAATTGTCTTCTTGGAGAATTGATTTGACTATTCCACTGACACACACATATGGAGAGAGATATTAGTTATAATCTGTTTTCTATTTAGACTGAAACAACTAGATCAATAAACCACATATATCAGATCTAAAAAATTATCCGTATTTGTCCCTTGGTTATATTAATTGAACAGTATTCAATTCATCATTTACACTGTTCTCAATAGAAACATTCAATGATAAAATTATAAGTAGGACAGGATAAAATTAATTTAGTCTAATAATCAAGCAAGAGTTATATATATATATATCAGGTAGTTGATAGATTTTTTTCCTTTTCAAATTTTATTATATGGTAGTATGATATAGCAAGATAAAGATAGCTATTTTACAGAGAGGATTCTAAGTTCTAATTTGGTACAAAGCTATGGTAGTTGTAGTAAATAATATTTTAAGAGCAGAAGAGATGGGTTGGTCTACCTAAGAAAGACCAAAGAATCTTGAGATAGGGTGTCTGTATTGTGCTTGGATTTTAAACAGCACTCCTGCTGGTGTGGTAAGAGCTTACAGATATGTATCTCTCGCCACCCTCACCAAGAAAGAGTTTTATAGGAGCTGATGACAGCCCCTTCTAACGGTGGAAAACATAAAAATCTCTTTCATCTTTGTATTATCAGTTGTCAGTATATATTAGGTAGGAAATAACTGTATGATAAATGGAAATATAGGTAAATTGAAATGGATAACATTAAGGGAACAGACTTCCATTCCTAGAAGTAAATAACTGAAGTATAAACTTCAATGCTTGTTCACTAAAAGGAGATAACATTTATTGGTCTTATCAGAAGGGGCGCAATATATCAGTATAGAATACATGGTTAATTCCAGGTAAATAGACTCTACTGACTACTCTGCTATTCAGATCTCCTCCAATATTCCCTCTTCTGACGCCCTGTGTGGTATTCCTGGGTCCAGAGCACAGCCAGCTTATGCTTGATTTTTAATAAGACATCTAGTTCCTGACCCTGATCACTTCAGCAGTGTCTCTATATAGCTCAATTTTATAGTTTCTGCAGAAATTGGAGTTTGCCAAACAAAATGATCCCTAACTAGTCCTATTTACTGACTAATCTAGCTAATCACCCTCAAAGGAGAATAAGGCAGTGAAATCAGCTATTGGCTTGACTTTCTGAACTGTCAGGAAGTTAGGAACTGGCTGCTGACACTGAAACTGTTTGTATTACACGTTTATGCACGAGCACGCTTGGGTTCTGCTTGGGAGTTGAGATTGCCTGTAATAGGACTCTGTTATCACTTCAGACATGAACTTTCTCTCCATCTTTGGCCCTGGGAGCCAAAGCCATTTCCCTAACTACCCATGATCCATACACTGGAACAAAGGCCAATGTAGACGGGCCATAATAAATATTCAGAAGACAAATGCCAAATTTTTTATTAAGCACTCAAAAGAGCTCTATAAAATCACCATAGAAGTAAAAAAGCAATTATAGTGGGACTGAGAGCATCAGAAATTTGGACATTCAAGGAAAAGCTGTGGTCAAATAGAAAAGTATCAGAGCCTACATTTTCTAACAGAGTAGTTCTAGATAATGTTAGAACTGTATTGTTTTTGAGGTAGTGTGGAAATAAGGAGTACAAAGCTAAGTTATTGGCTAGGCTTTTCACGTGGATTTTAAATTTATACAACATTTCAAGATTTGGGGCTAGAGAAGATGTTGAAATTCAAGACCGAAATCACAAATGAAAATGGAAATCTGACCTGCATGGATGATACAGGGCAATAAGTTGGATGTCATGAACCAAGATGTTTTAACACTTGGAAGAATAAGTCATTGTATAAAAGCAACACTGGGGATTTAGAAAAGTGGCAACTTGAATTTTAGGCCTTGTGTTTTATGGGGCATTGGAAAAGGATGTCATCCTTTGGAAAAGTTACAAAGGAAGTGATCTCTTAATGGAGAAAACTAGTGTTCAGGTAAGGTCACATGGTATGTTCTTTGAGGGTGCCCAGAGTTTTGTTTTTCGTTTTTCAATAGAGTCAGGATTGAGGGCATATTTAAATTTTGGGGAGGAAAACACAGCAGCATAAGGATTCATAATGGAGAAAAAGGATAAAGCATTATGGGATAGAATTGGCTCTTGGATGGAGTTGCATTTTGTAAATGGTAGGAACGTGAGAGATGGTAAAATTATGCAGCATTAAATTTGCAAATGAGACTCTTCAGTCAAGTTCAGGCACTATCATGATAGACTAACCTACTTAACCGTCAGAATCACATGGGGGAGTGATTGGTTCTGGGCTTCACTCCAGTCCTGCTAGAGGGGAATCGCTGAGGATGGGACCCACATTTTAAATAAGGTTCTCAGGACATTTTTGTGAAGCCAGCCAATCCCAGGTTTAAGAACAGAACTAGCATTTGGGAACCACAAGGCTTGGTCTCATGTTGATTATTGTACTTGGCAATGACTGCCCTGGGTCAGAGTTTCAGCTCTCCAGAATCAGTAATTTCAGTCTCAAGGAGTCCTGGTGGTGATGGTCAGGAGGGAGTATCTGACACATGTAAGCAGAGCCAAGCCAACATCATCTGGACATCTTCATTCCAAAATCCTATTCCAGTGGAGGACAGAGTTGGGAATGCATTTCAATGCAAGAAAACAGAAGTTTTCTTAGGTGATTTAAGAAAATAGAGGAGCTAGACAATTATGGAATAGATTCTTCAACTCCAATACTGTTAAAGTCAAGGAATAAGGAGTTTCCTTGGTATTTGCCTAATGGTTGTCACCTTATGGTTGAAAAATGACTGTTGAAGTTCTGTACATCTCACACTCAGAGCAGCAAGAAGGAAGAAATGAACTTGGCCATGTCGTTGGCTAGACAATTGTCACACAGATAATCTTAGTTGCTGGGGAGGCTGATTAAAGTTGAGTATTTACATTTAGCCTCTGTAATAGAGGTGGGCAGGGGGAACAGGTTTATGAACTGAGTGAGCAAACTTATCTGCTACAGAAACTCATCAGCAGCACATTTAGGAGTAAATTCAAATTTTCTTTCAAAATCTGTTCCCTCGCCTATATTCCCTATTTTAATTATTGACATCTCTTTGATCTCACTCAAAGAATGACTCAAAGGAGTCATTCCTAAATCCTTCTTCCCTTTTCTCACACCTATATTAATTTGGTTAAAAAATGTTATTGAAGGCATGTCCCTATGTTTCTCAAGTTGTATTCTCTTACTTATTATTATTTATCCAATCCTGATTTTGTTTAAGCCCACATTTTTCTTCCCTTGGATTCTGAAAAATTCTAGTTTCAATATATTCCAGAAACTCTACTATTCACCGCCACGAGATTATACTTTCTAACCTTCAAATATGATTAATCTCTACTTTGTTTAAATCCACCATAACTCTTAATGCCTTCGGGATAGAATTCAAATTTCTTATCATGACATAAGCTTACCATGATCCTGCTGTTTTATACCATTCCAACTTCCTCCTTCAGAATTCCCCCAAGAACTCCCATACTCTGGCCAAAAAGAACTACCTCTGAGTTCAGCAACAGTGTCATCTTATTTTGTATATTTTTGCAAACCTTACTCCCTCTGCCCATTTCCTGGCTTAGTTTTTGGCCTGCCCTACCACTATTTGTCTTTCTAGATTGAGTTGAGGTCTCTTTTCTGGGAAGCTGTCCCTTACAGAAAATCCCTCCACACTCCCACTTCCTGTCCTTTTAAACACATACACACACACACACACACACACACACACAGAGTATTAATTTATCTCCACAACTAAACGCTGAGTTTCTTGAGGCACAGTTACTAGTGTCTTACTCCTTCATGGATCTCCAGCACAGAGCAAGCACTTAATAAATATGTGTTGAATAAACGATTGAACATGTGTAATTACCTAAATATCAAGTATTTGGGAATTTAGATGAATTCTTTTTCTTCCCCCTGAGCCACATGTGCTCCACTCCATAAAATGCAGACTTAAATAAAATATCATAGGAATTTTTTTTAGCAGTACTTACATTTATGCTAAGACTATTATATTGCTTTTAGGTTTTTGTTTTAATATCAAAAATGAAGATATGTCCTCAAGCCGTATAATATAATTTTATCTGAGAAGAATTAATTTGGGCCCAGCATTTGCCATATTTCAGTGGAAACATAAGCATTTTTGTCATTTTATAGCAGAAATATGGTATTTGGAAATGAGCAGCATTTGGAAATGAATGGTCTAACATATCTATCTTTTGGTAGGTCATTGTGGTTTATAGAAATGGTTCTGTATAAGCTATTTAGGTTTCCTAACAAGATTCTTTATTTTTTTACTTCAAACCAGTGTGCTTTCAAAAATTTGTTTGTTTTTTTTCAAACTAGGGAGCAATTTAATTAAGTACGTCTTCTATTTTCTGATGCTTTGACATCTGGGGACTTGCTGACCCTGGAGAAATTGTCCTTTCCAGGGTTAGCCAATTCCTAGAGACAGTAAAACCACTCACCCTACAGCATACTTTTCAAATGCAAACCAATCAGTCCGAGCCCACACTCCAACCCCCTCTTCAGGCTCTCACACTCCAGGCCAACAGGCACCTGCCCTAGTCACCCCTGAGTCAATGCGTTAGTTTTCTAGGGCTGCCATAACAAAATACCACAGACTGGGCAG